GAAAAAATAACAGTATTTCTTTTCAGCAAAATAACAGGAAAAAATAACAGTATTTCTTTTCAGCAAAATAACAGTAAAAAATAACAGTATTTCTTTTCAGCAAAATAACAGTAAAAAATAACAGTATTTCTTTTCAGCAAAATAACAGTAAAAAATAACAGTATTTCTTTTCAGCAACAGTTGTGCTGCTTCATATTTTTGTGAGAGTGCTATTTTTTGAGGATTCTGAAAAAATAACTTTCTTTTTAGCACATCTTTTGTACTATCACTTTTGATCCATGTAATGCATCCTTGTTGAATAAAAGTATTAATTCCTTTCAAGACTTTTGTTTTTCTTTTTTTACGTAGTCACTGGCAAGTAAACGGCACATTTCACCTCTTTTGTACTGAAGGTTACCATTATGCATGTGCATTTAAAAAAAAAAAAGATATTTTGCTTGCATTATAGTAAATATTAAAATGGTTTTACCATCAAAGTGATTGTCGGGTAGGGTTGGCACCACATCTTCCCACAGGCCTTTCAGAGGAACAACCTATGCAAGTATAACCAAAATAATGGACAGTTTAAGAAGTCATAAGCTGCATGTAATAACTCGGCACAATTTGCAGATACAGATATATTTTGTTTACTTTATGTGGCTGACTTTTGGCCCATTCCTGTAGCCTCTGGAATACACCATCATTGCACTCAATGATCCAATGCTCCTCAATGGGGAAGGACTCCACTTTAGTGGCTGCTATGGCCATTCCAAAGCCGATCTCGAGCACCCTTCCACCTACATTCCCAAACAAGAGGAGACAAGTTGTTTATGCTTTTTACGTGTTTTCTTATTCATAATTCAGTGCTTCAACTGCATTCTGTCCATTAAGTGTATATATTTTACTATGCCAGATAGCTAATATTGACAGAGTGCTGGTCATGGGAAAGGTCCTGGAGCTGCAGGAGGTGATATTTCAGAAAGGAGTAAAAATAGGCATGTGAGGAGTAAAGCAGAGGTCACTAGTGTCCTGCCCTTCTCAAATGAATGGCATTTCTAGAAATTCCGTTTGCAAACTGTTGATGTGACACGTGCTCTGTGCGACTATGAAACCAAACATTTTAGGTTTTAAGCTTTTAAGTGAGAAATAACTGAATCTCGTGTTTAACTTCTACAGTTTGCGTGTGAAAGTTTTGCACCTGTCGTCGTGGCACAAGCACGTGTTTGTGTCACATTCATAGATTACGAAATCTAATCTGACTGCTACAACGTGAACGTTTACGTTCTACGAATTCTACTAAGGTACTTAATATTAATTAGGTAACGCCATTGGTCGCTCCAGGAAGGTTACGAAGCAACGTCAGCATTGCCATATTAATATTCATGAGCGACGTCTTCGCAATAGTAGTGCGGGGAAGTCTCTGGCAAGACTCGTTTCTGGAATCGGTTCTTTTGAACAGATCTTTTAGAACTGATTTAGCGGTCATCCTGGCGTGACGTACATGTTAAGTAAAATAATAACAATTATAAAAAAGCCAGTGTTGGAACATACGGGTGACGGTTTGTTAAATTATTTATCAATTTATTAAGTTGCTTTTCGGTCAAATTGTTGGTATGTGAAAGATAAAGTGAGAAAGGCCTTTGCTAATCAAACTTAACCCAATTATTAACTGATTTGGACGTATCCAAAAAAGACGTCTTTTGTTTTTCTGGTTTTCCGTTACATAAATACTGCATGTTCGGACATCCATTTTTAAAAAAATAGTTATTTTTGCATAATAAACGCATATTTGGACAGTGCTCGGTTCAAGGAGTCAGTGAGTTGATGACCGATTCACGAATGAATCGTTTATACATGTTTGTTCAAAAGATTCGATTCAACTGGAGGATTCATTTAAGAATCGGAATCCCTTCGCCATAGTAGAATGCTTAATTTTACAGTGTTATTGAGAACACAGCTCGTTTTAAAGGTTTTGGCGGATAATATTGACACTTTTAAATATAATAGGACTAATAAAGTCACTTTCAACGAAAACGTAACGCAACGAATCGACTTCTTTGACTCACTGTTTCAGCGGATCAAGAATTAAAATTGCAAATGACCTTTAGATGCAGCAACTGTTGCAAGGGAGTGCATGTATGGAGTTTCCCAGCGCTCCATAACGGGTTTCCCCATGATCTCCAAGTGTGTGTCGGTCTCATTGTAGTCAGCACTCGCGTCGTGCCACACTTGTTTGCAGTTTTCTCCCTTCGAGAAGATCGGCTGAGCGGAGGTCATGGTGGATTGTTGAATGTTGACAGATGTGGTGTGGTGTTGTATCAACGCGCAGTGGCTGAAGAGATCGTCTCTGGCGTGACTTGAGTGTTATATATTTAAAGAACTGCTGATCGTGCAAGAATCAGTGTAGTCAAAGAGTGAGTGTTGATAAGGAGTCCACTGAGAAGGGGGTGGTCTGGTCTCTCACATGCATTGCTCTCTAGCCAGACAGCTGGAACAGCTTCTGATTCATGATGGTTAACCCAACAGCTGTAGCCCTTACTATCCTTTACTATTTAAAAGGACTGGGTTATTCATTGCCATGTGGCAGAACCATGGTGCTGTGATTGTAGATGATAATACAATGATGGCACTTTGATTTGCTGTTCAAAACCACATTGAAAATCTGGGACTGAATGATTACCATATCATGCATAATACATGTACAAAAACATGGTATTTCTGTGATCCTTGTCCGACCAAAAAATAAATAAAAATAGTACTAGTGTGGTGCGTTTGTATGTGCGTTTGAGTAGTAGGCATGCAGTCTATTAACTCTAATCACGTGACATAGTTAAGGTTGTGCAATCGTACAGAACAAGTGGACTTTCTGAACTATTTACCTGCAGAACGGCCACTTTGTTTTTTTGCCACTTTCATCAATATTTCAGTTAATAATTCGTAGGCTACTTGCATACCCAACATTCCTGTGTTACAAAATAGTTTAAAAATAATATGGTGTCAGAATTGGCACATCTGTGCTCTGCTGCAACATCTTAATGGATTTCTCTGCATTTCTTCACGTTCTGTGAGCAGCAATCAAAACACTAATTGGAATTAATTCATTTAAACTGACTGTTAAAAGCAAATTCATTTGTCCTGCTTAGGTTTTGTGGTTGTATGTTATTCAGTCAAATCAAAAATACATTGGATTTAATCACTAATTAATAGAAGTATGTGTCTGCGACAATCCTCTTTGCTTATTTATTTATTTTATTTATTTATTTAGTCATTTAGCAGACGCTTTAACCAAAGCGACTTACAAATGAGGACAATAAAAGCAGTCAAAACTAACAAAAGAGCAACAATATATAAGTGCAAATGACAAGTCTCGGTTAGCCTAACGCAGTACACGTAGTAAGGTGTGTGTGTATATACCTGTATATATATATATATTATATACACACACACACACACACACACACACACAAAGAAAAATAAGTAGATAGAATAGAAAAAAAAATAGAAAGCTAGTGTTTGTTTGTTTTTTGTTTAAAAAAAAAAAATTTGCATTTTGTTTGTCAAAGAGCTTATACTCAATAGCTCATTCTCCTGTCCTGTAAACACTGATAACTGCACCCCTAACAGTGTATTCATGAACCTGTTGAACCAGGTTTGCTGATTTCAGGTTTGTTTGATTTCATTCTAAACAGCTTATGACTGCATCACGATTAAGCACACTCAGAACTGAAATTTCTTAAAGAGACAGTTCACAAAAAAGGGATTCTGTCCGAGTTCACTCAGTCAAGTCATTACAAACCTGTATGGTTTTCTTGATTTTTGTTTGGTTTTGACGATTTAATAATGTACAGGTCACTTTTTCATGCAATTACATTAAATGGGAACTGAATTTCTGTTTCAGAAAGGACCATAAAATATTAGAAATTTTGTAAAAGCAGTTCATGCACTCTATTTCAAGCCTTTTGAAGTCATATGATGGCTTAGTGTAAGAAACAAACTGAAATATGGAATAAATCTTCCCTCCAGTGAGCTGTTAACCACTTCAACCGAGTCAAGCAATGAATCAGTTGAACTTACAAACAAATCATTCAGACCTGTTTTGTGACCTGGAACAGCCAAAAAGACCTCACAAAAATAATGATTAATTCCTGAATTGGGTTTTGCTGCTTTTCTCATGAACTTTCATGAGAAGAGAGCTGAATCATCAATGGCAAAGCTGGACAGCCTCAGTCCTCATTAATTCTCACTATATAAGCCAAATCAAACTTATTTCTGAGTAAACTTTTTTGAACGTACTCATGCTAATATGCTAATAGCTATCAAAGTTGCTATTGTTTACTTACGCGCCCACAATGCTAATGTTAACTTAAGGGGAGACACTGCAGGCAAAAACACTTATTTTATAGCACTTTATATTTGTGTCAATAGATTTCAATTACAATACATATTTTTAAAAGCCGTTTTCTCAAAATGAGTTTTTTCTCCTACACTGAGCCATAAATCTCCACTTCAGTAGCACTTACACACACCAAACTTTACATTTTTATTCCTGTTTATATCCTGAAGGTTTTTACAGAGGGATTTGTTCATATATAATTTGCTTGATTAT